AATAAAACACAATTAAATAAAATAACCCACAAGTAATTTAAATAAAACAAACAAACAAATAATTTTTAAAAAAATGACACCTAATAAAAAAAAATGCAATTAAATACAATAATGAAATTCCATAATTATCATTTTAAAATTAGGGGTATTACAATAGACTTCATCAGCAGGGTTTGAAGTCAATTTTGAATAACAAATGCATGCTTCTATGCAATACACTTAACTCATGTATATGATATACCATAAAAAATGGAATTATGAAAATTATAGAAGTCAATTTTCTTCAGTTTTTCAATAAAAACTTTGAAACATTTCGAAGGAGAGCCGTGCTTGGTTCATGTGTATCAAATTTCTCAAACCTCTAATTTTTTGGAAGGGTATAAAACTTCAAATCTGTATTTTCTAAACTCGATCTTCTGAGCAACCAAACATATTATCAGGGCTCATGGTTTAGTTGACATGAGACATTATATAATTTATTTTTCGTGATATTTTATGTGAACCAGGTTGTAAATTTATTTCGTTCATGTTTTGTTTTGTTTTTTCTTGTGTTTCTTATCTTTAGGTTAAGAACCTATAATCATTAGAATCTCTAAAAAAGTCATACATTTTTTTTTTTTTTTGAAAAAAATAATGTATAAAATTCTAATTCCTTATTTTCTCAATTTTTTTTAGCAGCAAAGAGAGTATTAGTGATCATAGTTTAGTTGACACATATACATTTATTTTTCTTGATATTGTATGTGAATTGGGTTGCAACTTTAAACCTTCACTAACAATATTTAAAATGTTTAAAACAAATCTCCAATTAAAAAGGGAACAATTAATCTCTCAGGAATGCACTATCACCAGATTAATTCTTCTAAAGTCACGTATCAATTGGCATTTCCCATAATGTTCGATTCATTTTCGTTTTCATTTTATTTTAGAGTAAAAAAATATATTATTTTTTACGTGGACACGTAGAACTCATATCACATGCTTAGTTTAATTTGCTTGAAATTGTGTAATCATAGTCATTAGGAAACCATCAGCATTTTTGAAAGATTGTATGCATAGCTCCTCATGGTAGAATATTTGGAGACTTTGCTAGCGGCTGAAGAATACATAGGGCAAGATCCCATTCCGATGCGATATACATGGCCATTGGTGAATCGATGATTGGCTATGACATTAGCTTGAGACATACTCATCCAAGACACGATGAAGTACTTAATTTGTAGATAGTCTTTTTCCTAAAAAATTATTCGATTTCTCTCACACCAGATATGGTAGGCCAGTGAAAAAATGGTAAACCTTACTAAAGAAGAACGGATTGCATTCCCTCTCCAGGGTGCACTAAGCTGCCAAATAAGTCCAAGATGGGGGATTTATATAGAACGCGCAACGTGCTTATAAAAATGTCTACATGGGTGAAACTAAAGGGAATTTAAAGAAAATGTGGTTATAGGATTCAGCTTCACAGTTGCAGAAGACGTAAATAAATGTGTTGAGGTGTGAGGTGCAACTTATATCTAGAGTGGGAAGCTTAAGATGGATAGCCACACCGAGAGTGAACGAATGTTTAGGGATTAAAGAATTAGACCATATAAGGCAAGTCCATGGGAGGGAAGGGATATGGAGGTTGAGATGCTTCAAGGTTCGAGCTATCGAGAATTTCCTTAAGGGAGATGGAATCCATTTGAACACATCTTCCTTGTGTGGATAGAGAAGTTGGTAAGGATGAGCAGTAACGGGATAATTGATGTGATAGTGAAAGGAGATGACTATGAAGAATATGTGATGAAGGAAACAACATTGGTTGTACTATCAAATGTGGAGTCTCTGAGCTGCTAACTAGTGATTATGAGGTAGAATGGCCCAAGTTGGCACCAACTATCAAACCATAAATTGGCATTATTTCTATGCCAATTTTGAGTTTGACGAGTAGTTGGACAAAGCTGCGGAAGTTTTCTCCAACTCCAAGAGCACTAACTATGTATCTTCATTTCCCAAATGCTCATACCTTTCGGAAGATATGCATTAATCCAGTTAATCCATAGAAGACTAGGATTGGAGGTGAGAATATTCTACAGATGTTTCATGACTGTAATTCTGTTTGTTATGAAATAAGGATTAAATAGGAATTTATGAGAACAAAAGAAAATTAAATAGCACACACACACAAACGAGACAAGAATTTACATGGTTTGGCTATGCCTACGTCCACGGGGAGAAGACAGAACAATATTTTACTATGGAATAAAGAGATACAAAGCAAAATGACTCACACCAAAACCGAATTATACCCACAAGCTCTCGCTCAATACTAATATTGATACAACTCACTCAATTTCGGATGATTTCTAATTGAATGAGGAACAAGGCTATTTATAGCCAAACAAATACTTGGTGCACAAGTATAACGAAGAAAGTCCACGCCAATCAATCAAATTTGTTTCCTCACAATAATACATCTATATTATATAGCTATATGAGCCGTAAAAGGAAACTAATGATGACCAACAACTCAACACGCGCGTGCACACACACACATATATATATATATGTAACCCGAACCAATCAATGGCCGGCACAAATTCCATAGTAGGCTAGCAAACTTCAATATGGATACCATGACTTGTGCTCCACGAATAATTGAGCTGGTGTAAACTGGGAGCCAAAATTTGATGTAAACTGGTGTAACCCGAACCAATCAATGGCCGGCACAAATTACATAAAAAAAATAAAAGAGAAAGCATACCTATGACATGAAGTCCAGCCTTTCTAAGTAAACAGAAAGGCACACATACACATATATATATGGCACACATACACATATATATATATGGCACACATACATATATATATGGCACACATACACATATATATATGTAGCCCGAACCGATCAATGGCCGGCACAAATTCCATAGTAGGCTAGCAAACTTCAATATGGATACCATGACTTGTGCTCCACGAATAATTGAGCTGGTGTAAACTGGGAGCCAAAATTTGAGCCATTGATTATGATGTGAATGCCACGTCATCTAACACTGTTGAATGAGTATAAATTATCGAGCCCTAACCCCCAACCTTTATAAGTAAACAAATCTTATCCCATGTAACTATAGCATCCGTTTGTTTAAGCTCTGGACCTAACCACAAAATGCATCTAAAAATGGTAGTAAATTCAATGATAATACACCGAGTCATAATGAATTTAGTGTTCCATTACTGTAGAGTATAGGATTGCTATAATAAGTTGAAGTCTCCCAAAAAATGAGACCAGAGTTTTGCTAGTCCAGTGCTAAATTCTACCAGTGATCTTGTCAATGTGAATTTTGCAGTAATAGCGAGGTCAGGTAGGTTATAAGGAGAGATGGTTAGTTATTCAGTAAATGAAGAGTTGGGGGATATATTCTGTTGGTGAGGAGAGGGATGGGTGAGTTCATTAGTGGGAGGGACAAGCTGCCATTCAGAAGAAGGTTGATGTGTCCTTTTTGGGGAAGTAATGGCTAGAGATAGATGGCATGAATTTCTACTGTGACCAAACTAATTACAGATGGGACACCTGGCAAGACACCCCTGGTATTCAACATTGGTGTTAACCACCTTTCTTGAGCCCAGGTAGAGCTTGAGAGTTTTAGGGAGGTTAGAGTTTACTTTGATTTGAACACAAACTCTAACAAATATAGTTTTACTTCTATTTTATGTAATGGAGTCAGTAAATAAGGGATGGTCAATATTGTTTATTATGTAGCTTAATCCAGGGTCACTCCAAAACTGGAGAGGGAGCCTACACAACTTGACCCGTATAGGAATAGAAGAAACTGTCTCTTTCCGGAATCCTGGCTACCAACTCTTCAGAATCAGTGGTTTGTTGGCAAAAAACCATGGTCCTCCATATATGATCCGATCACACTCAGCAAGCGATGAAAAGTGGAACTCAAAAAACCCCAAAAGGCTGGACTTCATGATGTCAAGACCAACATTCTCAATCTTTGAGGAAGGGATAATGATGTCATTAGAGGATGCACCCTGGTCGTATAATTATAGTGAGAACTTATGATGAGGGGATTTTACAATATTGTCACGTGAATGATTTGTAAATGAGTATTTCTCCATTTTTAAAGATTTTAAAGAGTTTCATTACTTCATTTATATACTTCAATCCAGTATTTTTTATTTATTTTATTTTTATCCATAGCTTGGCATACGAGACTCCGACCAATTATTATGATTATTATTTTTTCTTGAAAGTATCTACAAGGGGATTCGAATTCTCAACCTCCAATATGCGAGGTGAGAATCTTTGTCATTAGACTATTCTTTTGAAGTTTGAGTAATAAGATTAATGTGTTAGATCTAAATACATAAGTTTATAAAAAAATTATATGTATATTTTGTTAGAAAAAGGGAATTTCTGTAAGTAATGAAGTTTGTAAAAAGAAAGGAAGGATTGAAACAAATTTGAACTAAAAAAAACTTTATTTTTCTGTGATCTCTCGTGCAAAATATGTATTATTTACATAAAAAAAATAGAAGAGAAAGCATACCTATAACATGAACACTATTTAACATATATATATATATATATATATATGTATATATATGATAACAAGTTTTAAAAATTTTACATATATATTTTGGTAAAAAGGTGAACTTTTAGGAGCAATGAAGTTTGTGAAAGAGAAAGAAATTTTAGAAGTAATGAAAAAAAATTTGATCTGAAAACATAATGCATAACATACATGTGATAAATTGATAATAAGTTTGAATATATATATATATATATATATATATTCTGGTAAAAGATGGAATTGTTTTTTTCAAAAAATTAACAAGAGAAAAAAATAAAAATAAAATTGGCCCATGCAGGTTTCGAACCTGCGACCTTCGCGTTATTAGCACGACGCTCTAACCAGCTGAGCTAATAGGCCTCATACTTTTATTCTGTTTCATCAAACTATTTAATGGAAACATAAATTGTAAAAAAAGGTTTAGTTTATGTCCAATGTCTTCAAATGCTTATGACAGTGAACAAAAAGGGTGAAGAAAGAGCTGAGAGAATGGGGAGATCGTCGACGACTAAGGACGCTCAAGCACTCATCCACTCTCTTCGTTCGGCTTATGCCGCCACTCCCACAAACCTCAAGGTCTCTCTCTCCTCTCCTCTCCTCTCTTTCTCTCTCTATATATAGGTAAAATCAATACCCTAATTGAACTCTTGTTTTCACAGATCATCGATCTGTACGTAATGTTTGCGGTCTTTACTGCTCTGATTCAGGTACTCCGATTATATATATTTCTTCACTGTGTGTAAGTATTTACTGATTGATATTGTAAATCTGCACAATTCAATTTTCAGTGTGATCATAATACATTTACACAGTAGTGATTCTTGAAAAATTGTTCTGCTTTTCTTTAAATCCCGTCCAGTACTGTCTACTTTACGCCTAATGGAAAATCTAATTTTGTTATCTGATTTTTTGGATTGTTAGGGTTCTGATTATTTCATGATTGAGTGAGGTGGTTGGATTTTGATTGGATTGAGTGATTGTTTGAGAAGAAGATGAAATGTGCCACTGGCTCATTATATGTGCCTGGGGAAAGGATATGATCTATTATTTGCTTTCTGGTGAAAATTAAAACATTTATCTTGTGTTTTCCATCCTTGAATTCGTGATTTAGAATGGATAAATAAAAAAAAATTTATGAACTAAATAATCCCTAACTCCAAATACATTGTGCAGTTCTCATGTAGCCAATTATAGAATTACGTGTTTGAAAATTTTATTTACAGAGTTAGGTGCTGTTCAATAAAACTGAAAACTACCTCAAAAAAAAAAAAAATCGAGAATTTTTATTGTTTTCATTTGGATTTAAGTGTTGTTGTCACTTAAAAATTTACCTCATTTTAAGTGGCACTGAATTTGTAAGTGATATTCAAAATGTGTTTGATAACGCATTTAATTGGATAAGCACTTAATTTATTCAGAATTAAATCATGGATTGAGTTATCAAACAATACCTTAGTTATTTTACAGTTTTTGGCTCCTGAAATGGGTAGATATTGGTTTTTGGCCCAAATACGACCAATTGTACTTGTTGTATTTGTAGCTGAATAGCTTGAATTGCCAATCCCAATATTTCAATATATTTAATCAACTTTAAATTTAATATCTGAACCCAAAATTTTGAGTTATTTATTAGATATTTCAGCTAGATTAACAATACTGATTATGCTTAATTTTTCAAATAAGTTAAACGGTAAATTATATAGGATAGTCATTAAACAGACTATCTTATATTACTCTGTTTATTAGGTGTTAAAAAAGAAACAGAACAACGCATTCATGTGTCCGAAACAAGAATGATGAGATGAATGCTAGGAGTAATTAGAAAAGATAAGGTTAATAATCAACTTGTAAGGAAGAAATTAGTAGTGACATCCATTGCTGAGAAAATAAGATAAAGATGTTGTAGTCATATTCAACACAGACCAGTAGATGCATCAATGAGAAAGGAAGATTGGTTTGTTTTGAAGGTAAGAGATAAAAAACAGTCAAGACCAAAACTAACATGGAATAGAATAATAAAAAATGATTTAAAAAAATTAATAATAGTTTTTATGTCTCAAGACTGTAAGGGTTCTCTTGTAGCAAAATAATAAATAGTAATAAATGATAAATATCAAATACAATGACGCATGCCTTAATGATCGTGTACCGTGACAAAAAGTATATCAGGTTTAGAGTTATAGTGATTTTTGACCACTTGTGCTCTACTCTTCAATGCTCAAGAGTGTTCATATTTATAGCTCGAGGGCTATCGGATAATACCCAAGGGTTGGAGACTCCGTTGGTCATTAACCTAGGCCTAAGGCTTTGATAACAAGATTAAATTAGCCGCCCATTCTCGTAGCTACGTAGTCAAATAATTTCTTTTTGCCATGTTTGATGGCAACACATTAAATGATTTTGGTTTATCTGGGTGGTTAAGCATTAAATGACGAAGGTCGTAGCATTAAATGCATTTGGTGTAATGGTGAGTCATTTTGTGGTGACAAGTGCTCATCATTCCTTTGGTCAGGCCTAGTAGTTGAGTGTCAATACGAACTTTGATTACTCATTCTTCAATCCAAACTCCTTCTAAGTGTTCTAATTCGGTGGGTGCAAAGACGTAGTGAGTCCTGCTTATGTTTTTTCATCCTTATTAGTCAGGTGTCTTGCCTAGGGATGTCAACGGGACGGGTTCAAGATGGGGCACTCCTATCCCAAACCCGTCCCACAAATAAATAGTTCTTCCCAAACCCACCCCATATCGGAGTTGAGGTGGGTTTGGTTCACTTCGATATGTATATTTTTTAAGGAAAACAATTTAAACTTTAACAAATTTAAGATAAATTTTGTGAAAAAATTTAAGTGTAGACAAATACTTAAATTGTAACAATAGAAAAAGTTAAAATTTATATTATCATAAAAATGAAGAACAAATAGATCTATAACTAATAAAAGAATATTTATTTATATATTTATTCTTCATTGGGGCTGGTGTGGGGCTTGGCGGGCTTTAATCTCTCTTCTTAAACCTGCCCCTAACCCTATTAGGATGGTTTTAAACCTGTCCTAATAGGGGCGAGATGTGTTAAATTGACATCCCTACTCTCGTCCTTCCGAAACCTTGGGATACTTTCTCAGGTCCACTAAAACCTCGAGAAATGACTCTCTAGTCCAAAGCCCTGAGACACCATCTCAGGACCACTAAAAAAGCCTCGAGGGACAACCCCCTAGTCCAGAGCTTGAAAACAATATCAGATCCACTAGAGCCTCAAGAAACGACTGTCAAGTCTAAAACCCCAAGGCACACCATGTCCGTCAGAACCTCAAGGGACAACTCTTGAGTCTAAAGGCCTAATATATCCTTAGAACCACCGAACTCCTGAAGGATGAGGGTTAAGTGCCCTGTGAGAGCACCTGATTAGCAAGGTCGAAGAAGTATAGACATGATTGCGTTCTTGTAGCCACCGCACTAGGACACTTGAAAGGATTTTGGATTGGAGGATGAGAAGTCAGAATTATCACAGAGACTTGAGTACCGAGCCTAACCAAAGGGATGGTGAGCACATGCCATGGTAGAAAGACTCAACATCACGCCGAATGCATTTAATGTTATGTCCTTTGCCATTTAATGCTTAACCACCACTATTTAATGACTAATCAAAATAATTTAATGTGATGCTATCAAACTTTGACAAAAAGGAATGACTTGACTAAGTAGCTATGCACGTGGGCAGCTAATTTAATCATTATCTCAAAGCCTTAGGCCCGGGGTAATGAACAAATAGTCAAAAATCGCTATAACTAGTAGTTAAAAATTACAACAACTCTAAAGCTTATTTACACTCTGTCATGGTACACGAACATTCTTGCCTTCACCATTTTTTTTAATAAATAACATTCTTGCCTTCACCATTAATCATTTGGTTTGTCTATTTCTTCTCTTTCTTCTGGATCATTACTCTAGCTCCCTCATATTGTGTTTCTCTCATTTACTACTCCCTCCGTTCCATATTAGATGTCCACTTTGGAAACTGTGACTCACAATTATGACTCACAAATTGTGAGTCACAGTTCCCAAAGTGGACATCTAATATAGGGCGTAGGTAGTATTATATATTTGTTTTGCTACAAAAGAACCCTTGCATTCTTGAGACATAAAAACTACATTTTTATTTCCCTTTACTGGTTAATCATAAGAACCCTGTTTAGGGACCAAATTCCTCACAAACTTTTGGTTTCTGTACTTGCATCACTTTGATGGTTTTGACACTTGCATTGCCTAACAATTAACATGCATCGGAAGAGTTCCTTAACATTTTTTTATTCTGCACAAGTCCGTACTATTTCCTCTCAACTTTCTAAAAGAATATGGCTACGAGGTTGACTGCTTGCCCATACACAATGGATACAGAATCTGTTTAGCATCAATGTCCGAAACCAACCTATTGATTGTGGAGTACTTTTAGAAATTTTAGAATGTCAGTATCTTAAATAAAAAGGGAAATAAATGCCATTGAAGACCTCAATGAGGGTTTTTTAAAACCTTAGGCATAATGGATCAATACAACTTTCAGAGGTTCTGCAGAAGCTTGTTCTAAATTTTAATTTATTCATTTTGCGGACCACCGTTTTCTTCCCAACTGTGAATGATTCTATGTTTTTTGTTTTTGTTTGTTTGTTTGTTGGGGAGTGGAATGGGGCTGTTTGAATTTGACACGCTCTTTCCTAAAAAGGTATTTGCCTTCTCAATTGTGACACACTCTTTCCTGAAAAGGTATTTGCCTTTTCAATTGAGACGGGATAATGCTTGAATCAAATAACGATCAATCATATCAAAGTATTATATTCTCCTGCTTAGATATTCATATTGCTGGTGAACAGGTAGTTTACATGTCTGTTGTTGGATCATTCCCGTTCAACTCTTTTCTCTCGGGAGTACTTTCTTGTGTTGGGACAGCAGTCCTTGCTGGTAAGCAGAATTTATATTGGTTGTTTGTGTGGAGAAAATTCCTTTTAAATCTGGGAAAATGAGATTGATCAGTATCTTCGGCCACAGTTTGTCTCCGCATTCAAGTGAACAAAGAAAACAAGGAATTCAAGGTAAGCTTTCTTTCCTTTCACATGTTTTTCCTATCATACCATTCAGTTGCATGTTTAGCAGAATAAATAAATTTTGTACAACAAGATTTGCAACCTGAATGGTCATAATATTCCAAAATTCTTTTTCCTTGCTTCCTGTCTCTTCTTCAACCAAATGTGAGCTTGGAGTATATGCATGTGTTTGTGTGTGTATGTATATATATATATATATGCATGCATTTATGTGTTATATCATTGTGACTGGATGCCAAAACCCATTTTTATTTTTATTTTTTATTTTTTTTGTTTGCGGTGGGGGTTGAAGAAATGGAATAATATCCCTACCAGACACTCCTTTTCTTATTATTTGACATATCTTTCATCAAATTGCAGGATTTACCACCGGAGCGTGCTTTTGCTGATTTTATTCTCTGCAACCTGGTGCTCCATTTGGTGATCATGAACTTCCTCGGATAATTTTTTTCTCTGGGACTGTCAGAATGGTTTCACTGAATTTTGATGGTGAGATGTAGTGAAAGTAAGTTTGAACTCCTGTTTATGGATATACAATTCTACCATAACTGATTTTGGTTTTATTTAGACTTCATTTCCTCGTCATTTTAGTTGTGCTTCGCAGGCAAAAAAACTTCTCTCTCACAGGGATTAGTTTTTTCTGCTACATTATGAAATCTTTTCTCAAGTGAAAGGAGGAAGAATTGGTTCAAATTATTTTTTTTCCCCTAGTTGGTACTCACACATCCACCCGCTCAAAGAATTGTTTGCATCCAAGCGGATTTGAACATTAGACCCGACCAGTGCCAAGTTCTTATCCACTTGAGCCGACCATTAAAAGGAATGTGATATGTTCACTCCACTTCTTTTTCTTCGCTGAATATTTGGACTCTCAAATGATTTGCAAACTTAAGATGCACGTAATCGCCCACAAACCACATGCACCCGTTAAACTCAGGCCTCACTTTCTGTGAGACTCGAATCAAAGACCTAAGAAAATTACTTTTAAAGGCGAAAGATGAACTCAACCGCCATCCGCCAACTCTTTGGACTCTCATATGATTTACGAACTAGAATGTACGTGATTGCTCGCAAACTATATGTATCGGTTAAAACCAGGCCTCACTTTTTGCGAGGCTCGAATCAAAGACCCAAGAAGAATACTTTTAAAGGTGAAAGATGAACTCATCCGCTATCTGCCAACTCTTTGGACACTCAAATAATTTGCGCACTTAAATGCACGTGATTGCTCGCAAACAACCAAACCGTATGACTAAATTCCATTTTTGTCCAATTTTCACAGGGTAAAGTCAAATGAAGCTATTAGCTATGCGTGGACAGTGAAATATGTTTAGTACAATTCCAAGTATATAATACTTTATGTCCAGAGAAAATGATCTTCACTACGAAATTTCCGATTGAGAATGAAATCTCTTTAAATTAAATGGATGTCAATTACAACTACAGTACTATTTTAATATTTTGTTTTTCTTGTCATTCAAAGAGACGTTGCTTCGACAGCTAGTTGATGTTGAAGATTAACAAGACCTTGACCATTTAATATAATCAAAATTATCCAATGACAGCCTAATTTTTTTTTATCTTTTAATAATCTCAAACTATTTTTTGTTTTTGATTGTTTAACTTTACCACTAGTTGAAACTCTCCATAATATGAATATCCCCCCTCTTCTAGGGGTGAGTATTTGATCCCCTAATTTATGAGTCTCACTCACAGATTGGTGGTGAATTTAATAATACCGAATCCATAATTTATGGATTGAACTGTTAAAAATCTAATCTGATCCGTAATTCAATCGGATCGCTGAGATTTATATATATATTTTAAAAATGTATTAGTTGATAATATTTTAAATTTAAATTAGTTAATGATTTGGCCTCTAAAAAAGTATTAGTTAATAATAATTTAAATATATGAATTAAGATTGATAAATTAAAATTTTATCAATTGAGCCATGGTTAAAAAATAACAATGTTGGGCTATTTGAGAAAACCACAATATGTTGATCCAATTCAATCTGATCCGTTGAGATCGGACCAGATTATGATTAATGTCTACTCACTCATTTCGATCCGCAGTCACCCTTACTCTTTTATATATATATATATATATATATATATATATATATATATATTAAATTAAATTAAAGACGTATCCTGAAGAACTTAGGGAGATATTCGATAATATATTAAAAAGAGTAAACCTTGATGCAGAAAATTGCTCGTTTTGACATTAAGGTCAGGGATTCTAATGAATGAGGATCTATAATTTTTTTCTATTTGATTCTGAAAGAGACGCCTTGACACCTCTTGTTTTGCTCCCCTCATTCCCTTTTGTGTACTCACGCCGGCATTGATGTTGCAGCAGCTAATCATTAGGACACCAAGGACATAGTTTAACTTATTCATGCCCACTTAACAACCTACTTAAATTCCACTAAAATAAACATAAAAAATAAAAATTAAAAGAAAAATAAACCTACTAATGAGTTATGAGTCATTTTCAAACTTAAATTCACTAAAATAAACATAAAAAAGAAAAGAAAAATAAAAAAAATTATTTTATGAGTCATTTTCAAGGTTGCTTTCTTAGCTTTAGCCCTTTTTGTCACAACAGAGGCCACTTTTCAAACTTATTAGTGACATGGCCTTTTGCTATTGGTAGTTACCTAATAAATTTCCCAAAAAGAACAAACAACTTAACAAAATTACAAAAAACTGTAACTGTATCGTTTTTAATGGCCTCAATTTTCTGACACGTGTCACGATAAGACTAGGGGAGTCCACATGCAGTCAGGAAAACCCTGTGGGCAATGAAAAGCACGTGCGCGCACTCACACCTATACTCGGCTCCACCAATAAACCAGACTCTCGCACTCTCTCTCTATCTCTCTCTTCAAAGATAAGACGCATTTCTTCCCTCTCTTTCTCTCTCTACATCATTATTCACACTCTCTCCTCTTTCTCTCTCTCTAAACTGACTTTCTCTCCAGACTATGTTTATCCTCTCTGCATCGCCTTGCGGACTCTTCACCACCAGAGCTAGGGTTTCGTCTCCATTACCGTATTCCAAGCTCTCTCCGATTTCCTGCTCGTTGCCCGTTCGATCGAGAGGTCGGAGGTGCGAGTGCGCGGTCTTCTGCTCTTCGAAGTCCAGAGGAATGGCGGAAATGGTGGAGGACAAGGAATCGACTGTGGCCGTTTTCGCCTCGAGCTCCGCGTCGGAGAAGAGCGAGCTCTACCATTCGCGCACGTTTCTTGATGCAAGCACCGAAGAAGGTAGGTAGTTCTCTCTCCGTGCGTTGATACATTCTGTTTCTTCGAGATTCCCTGAATTTGCAAGAAAGTGATGTTCTATGTGCATTTCTAATGTGTATGTGTTAATGCCGGTTTCTTGATTTTTGTCTAATTTTGATGATTATCAATAAGAGTGATATCTGACTAATCAAAATTAGCAGGTAGGTAGTTCTCTGTGTGCGTTGATACATTCTGTCTCTACAAGATTCCCTGAATTTGCAAGAAAGTCATGTTCTGTGTGCCTGTGTATCTACGCGTTTATTGCTTCACCAGTGTCCAAATCCATGAACATCTCATTTTCATGTTATTTGCAATTATTTGGTTGAGCTCTTTGAGGTTTCTTGATTTTTGTCTATTTTTGACGATTATCAATAAGATTGATATCTAACGAATTAAAATTGGCAAGTAGTGGTGTAATGAGTGCCCAATTTTCCATAAACCTGCTAGTTGGAATTAGCTGTTTTAGGTAGTGACAGGCTATTTTGAGTTATTAGTCCGCCAGATGCTTCATAGCTTTTGGGAAGCAAAGGAATTGTATATTAGGCACACAAGATCTCATTATTGTTATTCATGCTGTCATTGAGGTTTTATCTATCTGTCTATATATATTTAATGCATGGAGGTTTAAATTTTTTATTTGTAATGGAACTGTACAGTAGTTTTCAGATTTTGTATTTTTACAGTGCTGATTAATTTAATATTTCGTATTATGTGCATAAGGTGACTTAAAATACTCTCGATCATTTTTAATCAAATTGAAATAAATTAACAAAGTATACTTAAGTAGAAAAAAATTGAAAAGGAAAGAAGTATAGTTGCACAAGTTGAACTAATTAGTTGTATGCCATAGCTATAGCATAGAAGCAAAAATTCCATCAAGATACTTTGAATTGACTTAAAACTTGTGGGATGAGTACATTTTCTTAGGATTCATGTTCCAACCTACAAATCATATGCTTGTAATCATATTCACTTATTCAGTTCCAAATTCCACTTGCCTTTGAATATTCAGAGAATTCCCACGAAAGATAAACAAATAGCATCACATTCTGAACAAGTGAACAAGTAAAGAAGGATTTTTAATGCCAAAAGAAGTAAAAGAGATCCTTTAATTGTGTCTGATTATTCTCAAAGTATCATTGAGATAATCGTAACATAGTTGTTTAAAGAAAATAAGGTTTCCATCAACATAGTTGTAAGGCATTAAATATGCAATTATTATGGGATTTCACCATTATTTTTAATGGAGTTGATTGAGATAGTGTTGTGGCGTGAGTGAAAAAGTGCTATATTGGTGGAGTTCATTACGGCTCGGCTGATATGCAGAGACTCGGTTGGGCCTCATGACATGAGATTATACATATTGTTTACGTAGCACGTGCGTGTGCACACACACATATATCTGGTTACCTAATTGTGTCGTACGATCCAATAAAATACCTACTAGAAATATTCTTACCCCCTAAAAAGAAAAAAGAAAGACACATTTTTGAACTTTTTCTTTTGTATGTCTTCTATCATCTATCATACTCCCTCAAATAGAATTACTATCCCTTTTGGGGACTCCCACATTTTAAGGAGAAATTCAATTAGTTTATGTCTCTTTTTGAAATTCCAAAATTAACTCTACTAACTTAAGATGTACGTTGTTGATTAAAGGAAACTTTCAAAACTTAAGGATAGTTTAGGGAATATACAGTTTTATGACATTGGCCCTTTAAAGGGGGACATTTGTTTTGGAACATCAAGAAACATTGTACATTAAAACAATCACAAAACTGAAACTAGCATGTTCTCAGAATAGATACTGAAGGTGCCCTCTATGTATCACTGAGCCAGCCTACCCAGCATTATACTTGTGCATTAAATTTTAGTTTTCATATATTACAACTTATGGAAACCACATAATAGTTTTTATTTATTTGACAGTAAGGATATTTTGAACCATCCATGTGCGTGCAAATCAGTTGCCTACAGAATATTATAACTTTGAGCTATTTTCTTTGGGTTTGAAATTTTTTCATTTTCTTGAAAAATTACTAAATTTAATAGAAATGCATTCAGTTGTCAGTCGACATATTGTATAATTGTTTCTCATAAAAAGAAGTATTTTTATCGTCGTAACCTACTTATGATGCATGGACGACACAAATATAGCAATGGGAATGGCTCAAAAAAGTAGAATATGGATACATCAGCAACACAAGAATAATATAAATATAGATATATGTATAAATGTACCATATATGGTATACAATAACTTTTGATGAATTTATTAAGATTTTAAATGCAAACTCATGACATTATTAAACACATAAATCATTTTATCAACAAGAACACAATATATGAAGAAAATAGATTCATAACTCAATATAAGTTCGAGAGCAGTATACACTCTACCATTCATTTTTTTTTTTTTTATAAGTATGATTGTATTAAAAAGGCATTCAAAAGGGGAACATATCCCGCTACACTCTTGCCATTCAATTATCCTAATGTATTACCGACTTATCACTGAATATGTGTAACGTATCTGACTTTTGAAAATCAATTTTTTTTTTTTTGGATATAGATGACATGTATAAGAAAATTACGAGAGTTCACCATTATGATATGGAAATTTTTTAATTAAAATTTATATAGGCAACATCTACAGTACCCTTATTTGTGGCAATTCTAGAGCCACTACTAATGCAATTTTGTGGTCTGCATCTTTAAATCTTACTCACAAGTCATGAATAGCTAATGTACAATTAGGATGTTTCTCAGCTGCTAATGGTTTCATTAAGTTTATGATGATTTATTATATTTCTATCCTTGACTTATTTGCCTTTTAACATTTTGATTGCCTAAAATACGATGTACCATAAGCTCAGTGAATTACCACGATGCTTAATTTTGACTTAAGACTTTTGGGGTACATGGTCACCTGCATGACTAGTTTTAGCATTCTCTAGACAACAAGAAATGACTAGTACATTTAATTAATAATCTGCTTGCTTTCACTTGCCATTAGAATTTCTCTTTTCTAGTTGTCTGTTTAATGATAGTTAAATCATGAACACCAGATAAAATATAATCATTCCTATCAATAGTCAAGACCTCACCATGCACAAAACTTTGTCTTTATAGGCTAATGTCATTCTTAATCAAAATTGGATGAAGAAATTTCTTTTACTTTTTCTTTCTTTCCTTATTATTTTTGAAATATATTTGGAGGATATATTTCTGTATCTTATGTTGAATCAATATTCACAGATCTGCTTTACGGAATCAGAAAGGAAACAGAAACTGGAAGGCTGCCTTCAAATGTTGCTCAGGGGATGGAGGAATTGTATCAGAATTATCGAAATGCAGTAATTTACTTTTCCTTGATTTGTGCTACAGTGTACCTCTTTGTGTGCAGGATGTTTTAAACATTTGATCATCTTGCTAATCACACGTGGCTTATTTCTTTCTACACTTAAAAAGAACTTCTAATGGTGTATGATACTTATATTTCTTTTGGCATACAGTTCTCTAAAAATATCTATCTTTAACAGTAGTTTACGATTCAGATTGTTTAGCATAAATATTTATCTTGGACGGTACTGGTGCGGACTCCTTGACTTGGGTGCCGTCGGCGCAAAGGACTTTTCAGGTCCGGTCCTTCTTTGTCTGTCTCTCTGGGTTTCACGGCTCCAATTTCCCGTGGAAGACGGTCTGGTTGTCAAAGGCGCCTCTTAGGGTGGACTTTTTTGTGTGGACAGTTGCTTGGGACAAGATTTTGACCCTCGACAATTTGAGGAAGAGAAGACAAATCATTGTGAACCGGTGTTGTCTTTACAAGATTGATGGAGAGTCCATGGATCACCTTCTTTTGCATTGTCCTGTGGCCCATGATTGTTGGAGTCTTATCCTGGGACTCTTTGGTGTCCATTGGGTCATGCCCCAGACCTCAAGGGATTTGATGGATATCTGGAGGGGCAAAAGGGTGGGGGGCACATGTTAGGGTTTTTTGGAGGATGACCCCCTTTTGCATTTGGTGGAGCCTTTGGAAAGAGCGGAATAAAGGATCTTTTGATGGGGTGGAATCTTCCATTGGGGCGTTGAAGTTTTCCATTATCTTTTCTCTTTTTTGTTGGGGATGGGGGAGAAATTATTCATCCATAGATGAATTGGTGGACTTGATGGGTTCTTTGGAACCATGGGTCTTTTCTTTGTTTCTTGCTTCTGGTTTTTTGTACAGCTCTTGGGATGCGTTCCCCTTTTGAACGCCTTCTATTATATTTTTACTTATCAAAAAAAAAAAAAGACTGTTTAGCATATAATTGGAGCAGGAACTCCAAAATGTGAAAATCTAAAACTGGAATAATTAGTTGTGTTTGGAAATGACCAAAAATATTGTGGAATTTATTAACCATTCTTGTCCATCCTTCTTTGATCCAGTTAATTAATGTCATTGGTTAACAACTATTTACCTTCAACGATCTCTGTTAGAGGATTTATTTATTAAAGTTACACACTCTCTAACAACTTAGGCTTTTTAGAATAGATGGTGGTTAACATGGTACAAGCAAGGTTCTCAGTTCAAACCCCACTCGGATAATTAAAATTGAAACACAAGTTGGACCAAAAGAAGGCCATACATGAAGGGATGTGTTAGAAGATTTAGATATTAAGGTTACACCCTCTCTAACTGCCTAAGGTTTTAGAGTAGAAGGTGGTTAGCATCCCCTACATAGTGAAACTGGCATTGTTGAATATATTTTTTGGCATCTCTTTTCAACTGGGATTATTTCAGTAAGGTAGAGGAATTAGAAATTACTTATCAAAAGAAAAAAAAGGTTGAGGAATTAGAAATAGGAGATTGTGTTCTAATTTGAGTGATTGCCTAATATAATCCTGCCATTTCACATTTGGTATGATATTTGTATCATAATCGTGTTCAAATTTTCAAATATAGAGGGTTGGGGCGTACAATACACGGGGTCATGGAATACTGGGGCTTGATACCCTCAAAAGGAAATTGTCTTGGAAAGATGGGAAACTTACTGTATTCGGTAGCATTGTTCTTCGTCTTCTCTCTTCATCATTCACACTTGTTGTTACTCATCATCTCAATGGCAAGTTGGGAGAGTATTGAAGATTTAATGGAGGAATCAGTGGAGGAAAATCTTTCAGTAATTGAGTGTGAATGATGAATAGAGAAGAGAGAAAACGAAGAACAATGCTACTAAATACACCGACAGCCCAAACAAGTCAATAAAAAATTGTCGGAGACGCAGCAAAGGCGAGAACAATACTACCGAACACATCGGCGGCCCAAACAAGCCGATAAAAACTGCCAGAGACACGGCAAAGACGAAGATAATGCTACCGAACACACTGACAACCCAAACAAGTTGATAAAAACTGTCGGAGACACGATAAAGGCGAAAAACATTATTGCTAAACAAACCGGCAGCCCATATAAATCACAAATAGCATCGAAAAAACCTTAGCAACATTTCAGATGCTAAGGGAATACCCCAAAATAGGGGTCCGAACATAGGAAGAGAAATTATGCTTTGATACCATGTTGTAAGAAAAATAAAAGTTGAAGAGAGAAATTAAAACATGAAGAACACAAGGATTTATGTGGTTCAGCCACTAGGGCTTACTTCCACGACACACAAAGCCCAAAGGGCTACATCTCTTTCATTACATTATCTCTTAATTCACACTTGTTGTTACTCGTCATCTCAATGACAAGTTGGGCATTCATGTTCCAACTTGAGAGGGAGTATTGAAGATTTAATGGAGGAATCAGTGGAGGAAAATCTTTTAGCAATTGATGTTGTTTCCTATTATTGAAGATTTTGTGTTACTAGAGAAATCGATAAAGAAAAATCCTCCTTGTTTCCTATTTTCTAATTCTTTCCATTCTCATAATTTCTTCTCCTATATAAAGGAGCCTCCACCATTGTATTGTATATGAATTGAGAGAGTATTATAAAAGTGATGTAGCCCTTTGGGCTCTTTATGCCGTGGATGTAGGCCCTAGTGGCTGAACTACGTAATATTTGTGTGTTCTACTTGTTTTATTTTTCTCTTCGCTTCCGTTTTATGCTTTACAACACTTTCTTCAATTTCTTCAAACTATTATCTCCTTCACAAAAAACCAAAAATGGCCCACCATACTATCAAACTATCCACAAAATCCATAAAATCCTCCACACATTTACAATTCCACCCATGAGGCCAAACGAGTAAAGAACTAAGTATGGAGTATTTAAGCACCCAAATAGGAACCTCCTCTCCATCAAAGGACTTCCTATTTCTCTCCCACGACAACTAAAGGGGCACTACCCTCCTAACCTCTCGGGCCATTATACATCCTCTCCAAGCCTCAAGCATGCTCTTCGTGGAATCCATCATGAATCAATGAACACCAAAAATACCTAAAATACCTAAACGCATGGCCCAACCGTCTTCAGCCATTGGGCAATGGAAAAGAGGATTCACTGATACCTCATCACTTTTGCACATGCAACACCAATTAACTATAATCTAACGCCTTCTCCTCTGATTATCTATTGTCAATATCCTTCCCAAAGCTACAGTCCATCCAAAAAAAAGAAAAAAGAAAAAAGAAAAAGAGAAAAAGAAACCACATTTAGAGGGGCTTTGGGGCCAAACTGCTTTTCGAGGAAAAGAGATCCGCCGAGCATCCAACATTCTCGGATAGAAGGAACACACCTCAAATTTCCAATGACTGAAGGCGACCCAAAACCACTCATCAAGCCCCTATCCAACCACCTTATGGCGATATATATGAATAACACCCTTTCAATCAAACATATACTTTACTGATTCTTATCTCACCTTTCTCCTTGTCAAAAGTATACTTATCTGCTGTCATTGGAAGGTTTGTTGGAGAGCTAGCAGGGACGGACCCAGAAAATTATGTGAGTGAGGGGAATAGTGGGTTTTTTTTGTTGTTTGTTTGTAATTTTAGTGGGAGCAATATTAAAATTTCATAGACATATAATTCAAAAAAGGAAAAATCACTAATATTTTAATACTTAAATATATATATATATATATATATATATATATATATTTATATATATATTTATATATATCAGTGGGGGCAATTGCCGCCACTCACCATATAACAGGTCCGTGCCTGAGACAGTTTGAACTACATGCTCTGATATAACGTCCCATTTTATGGAAACAATCTTATGGCCTTTTCCTTTTATCTCTTTTTGTTTTTGTTTTTTGTGGTTTCATGCTGTATTCATTAATGATCATTCAAAAACCTAAAGAAAACATGGCTGAAGCTGTTGTAGCACAATTCTAATGTGTTGGCACGGCATCTAAAATGGAGGGGTGGGTAAAGAGTTTGATGCTTATGAATTAAAAAAAAAAAATGTGAATTGTAGACGAGAATTGTTTATGCAAGTGTCTTTTAATGAGGATGAGGAAAATTTTTGTTTTTCTTTTTAATGTTATTCTCAACATCCACCACCCCCCCAACACAAAAAAATAAAAATAAAAAAATCTCAGACACACATTACAGTCTTTTCAATCTGGCATTTCCAGAATCCATAATTTCTTTGGCATGCTCTTTGCTTTCAGGTTTTTCAAAGTGGGAATCCCAAGGCAGACAAGATAGTTATGTCAAACATGACTGCAGTTCTTGATCGTGTTTTCAAAGATGTTGAGGTATCATTAGACCATGTACATGCTTTCAATATTTTCATACTTAATATATTTATTTTTAGTTTCAGCATCTCACCTCTTGTACAAATTTTTATATGAATCTAACAGTAATTTTTCAGGACCCTTTTGTCTTTTCACCATACCACAAAGCCTTGCGCGAACCTTATGACTACTTCATGTTTGGTCAAAATTATATCCGCCCTTTGGTTGATTTCAGGTGAGCAAGTAATTTTTTTGTTTGTCTTCCTTTTCACTTTCATTGGATGGTTTTGATAGTAGTTGTAAAGTGATCTATATCATTGTTGTTAACCACCATCTACTCTAAAAGCTTAAGCGATTAGAGAGGGTGTAACTTTAATAATTAAATCCTTCTACACGCCCTCTCACGTGTTTTTCAATTTTAATTAGGGTGACGGTGAGTTTGAACTTGGAGACCTTTGGCTCTGATGCCACGTTAACCATCATCTACTTAGAGAGGGTGTTACTTTAATATTTAAATCCTTCAAATTGATGCAACTACATGGAAGATTTGATGATGATGTATTGCATTTACTTTTGTGCTTGCATATGCAAATGGTAGGGCATACTACTTGGCAAGTTGGAAAGTAGGCATCACTTACAAATCTATCCTGTCCTAAATTACCTCTTAGTAGAGATATGACTTGTTTTGATTTGAGTGATATGGGATCTTGTTTATGAATTTTGTGAGTATGCTATTTGGGTAGTTTGTTCTTGTTTAAAGCATATGCTTAATTTGGACAGCTTGCTATTTATCATTGATTATGGATTTGTAAATTTAAAGCAGTGGACCAATTATTGAAAGGGATGTGAATGCGATATATAAAAATTAGTTGAAAAAATGGTAATTTTAGAAATACAAATTCTTTTGTAGGATCAGGATGTCTGAAGTAAAAAATGTGTTGAGGAAGAGGAAACAGAAGTTTTGAAGTTATTAGGAGATGATAGCATGTCCTAGTTAACAAAATTGTTTTATTACTTCATAACGGAAATGCATGTGAGTGGCTAAACATCATCTTAGTGCTTATATAAAAGGTAAATTACCCTGACCTCCCCTGAGGATTAAGGTAATTGAAGAGAATACTTCTATTGCCAGCAAGTCCTATTGTATTGTTTTATCCTTCATCAGACCAGAGACAAACATGTTTGTAAGACAGTAGAGGTAGCACCAGTTGGAGATAAAGCGAGAGAATGGACTAAGGTGGTTTGACTAAGGTGTCTTGGTCCACATTGAGCGTAGTATTAGTGGAAGAGGTAGGCTAAATTAAAGTAGGTTGTGGGAAGAAGTAAAAACATTGTAGGGTGTGGTTTAACAGAATTTGTGGCTCTAAGCAGAGCAAGCTAGTGAACAGGATTTAAGAAGCCGGTCGCAAATAGTTGGGACAAGACTTTGTTGAGTCGTGTTGGTAAATGTTTTACATCACTCAGATAATCAGAGGCATCCTGTTATAGTGGTGTCCTCGTCCTATGTTCTTTAATCTTTTGCAAGTTTAAATTACATTGCTGAGTTAGGATGATCTAATCTCTGGCTATGATTATTCTGGTATGTTACAGACTTTGAACTTTGTTTCAAACACCAAGATTTTAAGATTGGATGGAATAAAGTTCCAGTAAGTACTTTTAGAGTTTGAAATGCTAGAGGTGGCTCGCCTGATTCAGATGGAATCAAAGATCTCATTATATTTATTTCACTATTAACTCGATTATAGGATAAAAAATAGTGATATTAAATATGAATCAGATTTCCTTTTTGTGCCAGTGCCTAGACTTTATTTACCCCCCCTCCCTTTCAGCATGTTATTCCTGATCCAATATTTGTCCTCAAATGTCTTTGTAAACCAATATAGCTAATGTTCTATGTTTTAAAAAAATTAGTAATAATGATTGAATTTCATGCATCTCAATTTAAAATATCCATCGCTGTCCTTTACCTTGATCATTTGTGTATTTTCAGGAGTTCATATGTTGGCAATATATCCCTTTTCAATGAAATAGAAGAGAAGCTACAGAAGGTGCCTAATTTCTGTGTTCAGTTTTATTTCCATTTGTTATTCTGTACAAGTTAGTGGTCATTGTAGCTCACTGACAACTCCCCCCTTTGCCCCTCTTTTCAATACTACTACTATTATTTCAAGAGAGCATTTTCTCCTTATTATTTTAGTGTAACAACATTTGAGAATGGGTGTGTGATTTGATTACCACCTGTGGTATGACCTGCACCTCCCCAAAGGGAAGGTTGAGGGTTCAAGTCCCAAGCCTAAAAAGATATTGAGAATTATGACAAATTTTTCTTGATTTTGGTTGTTGTTTGTAAATGAACCAATCCAAAAATCGTTTGAAGCTGTCGCCCTCCTGCTCTGAAACATAAATGAAATAGGAGGCAGGGTTCTCTTTCTAAGATCCTTGTGATTTAATACGCCTGGCCTATGGCCCTATCCGTATGTCTAGGAGCGGAATCCACCCTAATTTTTGACAAATTTTTCTTGGGGATGCATTTTTATTCTTAACGTGATGGTACATACATGTTCTTAGTGTTCAGATGCACCTCAGTGACAATATAATCACGAGTAACAATTTTTTGGCTTATAGGTTGTAAAGTCTTTATGCTGCCATGCACCATCAACATGCATGTATCCATATGCGAGTTTCAACAAGAAAAATCTAACACAATATCATTATAGATTTTCTGAAAAGACTTGGATAAACTTGGATGTTTTATTAAGTTTGTTGAACTATAACCAAATTTAGTTATGAGGCTGCCTGCTCCCTCAAAGCTTTTTGCACAGATAATTATATAAACAATTCTTATTATTAGCAAAATATTTGTTCTGACCTACTTGTGTATATAATATATATATGTATTGTCATTGACTCGTCATTATTTTCTCTGCCATAATTATCACCCTTTTGTCATCTATACATCTGATAGATAGTCTCCTTCAGTTTTATCAAAATCTATTCTTTTTCTTTCTCTAAGCTTTCTAGTTGTTGAGAGATGATTTCTTTCGCTTGTTCTGTCGGCTATGTTATCTTTTGGCACAGGAGGGATACTACCATCCATTTTCTCATGTGTACCGGCGATGACTTGTTTCAGTAGTATAACATTTTCTACAGTGATTTTGTAATAACAGTTGCTCCTCGTACAAGGATGTGACCCTCAACTCCCTCAAGGGTGCATTGTGCAACCAAACGAATTCTAGGCGAAGCGAATCTCCTCTCTATAACAATGCGTTCTATCTATTTTAAGGCTTATCTAAGAAAATTATATGATGCGTAACATAACAAATGTCCAATGTTATTTATATAAAATAAACTTATCAAAATTTTATTTATTTATTAGTTATTTTTTGATAAGTAAAATGTATTAGAAAGCGTCAAAAATTTTATTTATATAAAATAAATCCTAAACGTTGAAAAAATAAGGAAAATATACAGAAATTCTTAGTTGGTACTCACACACACATGCCTCCACTAAGGCTCGAACCCGTGACCTCCCTTTGGAAAGTAGGGGTCTGGTACCGCTAGGCCATTGGCCTATTGGTAAGAAAAGTAGTTTCTTATGGCTGTATGGTGATTTTTATTTTCTATATGCATTTGTTTTTCTTTAGAGGAAACACAATGATTGTTTCCTCATAGATTTAAAAATATTATTCTGTGAATCTGCAATTTTTATTCACACGTCAATTTGTTTGTACACATGTTTTTCTTTTGGTATATGAGTTCTAAGTTCTTATTTTCAAAAGGACTTGTGGAAAAAAATCTATAGGTCATTTTCAGGTTCTTTAAATTACTTCCATTTTTCTTATAAAAAAAATTTATAGAACATTTTACCAGCAGCCAAACACATATAAATGTTTTTTTTTTTTTTTTTTGCATAAATGCTTTATGCCAAAACAAAATAATAGTGACAAAAAGTAACATAAATTAAAAGAACGTATAAGATTTTAGTCCATTTGTTATAAGATGCCTTCTCCAGCTTTCTTAGATTACAAAAGCTGCTTCTAGCCCTGGGAATACATGTTTGGTTGTTTTGGTTAAGTTATTTACTCTGCAATATGTCTTGCTGTTTGTGCTTGACGAGCTTATTTATTTTTCCTCGTTGTTTTATACTGTGTAATCAGAATTTCTATACTATGAAATGCAGGGACATAACGTTGTCTTGATTTCCAACCATCAAAGTGAAGCAGATCCAGCTATTATTGCACTGCTGCTTGAAGAAACATGTCCACATATTACTGAGAACCTGGTGACATTGATATTGTTTCACTGAATCGTACTACTTGTACCACATTATGTGCAATCTGAAATTGTTTAATTGACCAGTATTTTGGGAATTGTGATGCAGATCTATGTGGCGGGAGATAGAGTTTTAACCGATCCTCTTTGCAAGCCTTTCAGCATGGGAAGGTGCTCATATGTTTTTTTGTTATGCCATAGATATGATCATATGTTTTAGCATGTTTTTCCTTGTTAATTCAATTTACTTCAAATTGACATAGGAATCTCTTATGCGTATACTCGAAAAAACACATGTTTGATAATCCTGAGCTTGTCGAGATGAAAAAAAGAGCAAACACGAGAAGTTTAAAGGAGATGGCTTTGCTTTTGAGGTACATATACTACTTCAGTTTGCATTCTTCTATGCATACTTTTGGATGATACATGCCACAGAGTTTTATGGATTTTTAGAATTAGTAGATGTGTGTATCTTCTTTAGAGTTGGAAAGAATTAGCTTAATTTAGAGTCTTATTTTGTGCGTGTGTTGTTGGGGGGTGAGGATTGCTGCTTGAAAGGTTTAAATGGATACATTGCCATCTCTCTCTAAAGCTTGTATGTTCAAAGCCAGGATGGTTCATAACATGTCTTCTCTTAATCTACATCATGAAGCACTCTTTGTTGACTTTAAGATATAATCAAATCAAGAGTAAGTGATAAAGAAGAAAAAGAGAAGAAAGCGGGTGAGAGAAAAGGAGAAAGAGATGGGCAAAGAGAGAGAATGAAAGAATACTTTCATCCTTCCACCACATTCTATTTATAATAACAAGTTTCAGAAATTATACATAAGCCCCAACATTATATAAGTAATAACAAATAAGTCCTTGACAACACTCCCCCTCAAGCTAGTGCAAAGATATCTATCATGCCCAGCTTGACTAACATATTTTGCAAGCAAGTCTTGCTTGCACCCTTAGTCAAAATATCAACAACCTGATCATGTGTGTTGACGCATGGAGTACAAATCAGCCCAAGACGAAACTTTTTCTTGATGAAGTGTCGATCGACTTCAATGTGCTTTGTCCTGTCATGTTGAACTGGATTGTGGGCAATGCTAATAGCAACCTTGTTGTCACAATACAATTTCATTGATTCGCAAACAAGATAACCCAACTCACCCAATATCGTACGTAGCCATAACAACTCACAAACTCCATGTGCCATGGATCTGAATTCGGCCTCTACACTAGATCTAGCTACTACGGATTGTTTCTTGCTTCGCCATGAAACAAGATTGCCTCCAACAGATGTGCAATATCCTGAAGTAGATCGTCGATCTGTCACAAACCCTGCCCAATCAGCATCAGTGTAGGCTTCAACACGCAAGTGGCCATGACTGCCAAACAATATCCCCTTACCAAGTGAACCCTTGAGGTAGCGAAGAACATGATGAGCTACCTCAAGGTGAGGTGTACATGGAGCATTCATAAACTGACTAATCACATTAACAACGTAGGCAATATCCGGGCGCGTGAGAGATAAGTAAATCAGTCTCCCAACTAATAGCTGAAATCTTCCCGCATCATCTAATAGGTCTCCATCTACATCATTAAGTTTATGGTATAGGGTTCGGCTCAATGGGAATAGCAATAGGTCTAGCTCCAAGCTTGCTTGTTTCAGCCAACAAATCTAACACATATTTCCGTTGAGAAATGAACACCCCTTTCTTCGATCTGCAAACCTCGATGCCAAGAAAGTATCTCAATGATCCGAGGTCTTTAATCTCGAACTTTGTCCCTAAGAATGACTTCATTCGACAAGTCTCTTCTGGATCATTTCCAGTGATAACAACATCATCAACATATACAATAAGGGTAGTGGTGCAGCCCTGGTGCTTCTTGATGAAGAGAGTATGATCTGCCTAACTCTGTGTGTACCCTACTCTTTTCACAGCAATGCTGAACCTCTCAAACCAAGCACAAGGCAACTGCTTTAACCCAGACAAGGCTTTATTTTGCTTGCACACTAAATTTTGACCATTAGCAAGCTTAAATTCCGGTGCCATAGTCATATACACGTCTTCCTCCAAGTCACCATGAAAGAAAGCATTCTTTACATCCAGCTGATGTAAGGGCCAATTCAAATTAGCTGCCAAAGAAAGAAGAACACATATAGAGTTCATCTTGGCAACTGGAGCAAATGTTTCCAGATAATCAATTCCATAGGTCCGAGTGAAGCCCTTTGCAACTAACCGAGCTTTATATCTCTCAATTGTTCCGCCTGCATAGTACTTTATTGTGTAGACCCATTTGCAGCCTACTGGTTTCTTACCCTAGGTAATGGAACAATATCCCAAGTACCATTCTTCTCAAGGGCCTTCATTTCTTCAAACATAGCTTTCTTCCATGGAGTTTGACTGAGAGCATCTGAAACACTAGAAGGAACAGATACAGAGGAGATACACGAAGTGAAAGCATGATATGTTAGAGATAAGGCATCATAGGATACAAATTGAGATATGGGATGTTTTGTACAACTACGAACACCCTTACAATAAGCAATAGGGACATCAAGATCTAATATGAATGCTATTGGGAAAAGAATCTGGAGTATCAATTTCAACTAAGGAATTACCTGGATCGAGGGAGACTTCTTGGTCCTGGGTGAGTCAATAACTTGTTTTGCCCTCCTAGTGTAGACAATTGGCTACTTTCCCTGCTGCAAATCATTAGTGTAAGGAGGATTAGACATAGGCACCTCAGTATGAAGCTCCTCCTGAATGGGAATAGGCAAAGGAAGGGGGCTTCCCTCAGAATGGACAACGGATTCTCTACCTGTATAGTAGTCTCCCCCCGTAGAGAGTCCCGAGCAGTGTAAAAAAAAGGAACAGACTCAAAGAATGTAACATCCATGGAGACAAAGTGACGACGAGTGGTAGGGGTTATAACACCGATACCCTTTCTGAGTAACGGAGTATCCAAGAAAGACACATCGGATTGCCTTAGGGTCTATTTTGTCCTTGCTATGATGAATGTGAACATAACAAACACAACCAAACACTTTCGGAGGGTCAGTAAACAAGGCAGTGTCATGGTGTAAGACAGAGAAGGGGGATTGATAGCCAAGAACCTTAGAAGGCATGCGATTGATAAGGTATGTAGCTGTTAAGGTTACATCAGCCCAATAACTTTTAGGCACATCCATCCCAATTAGAAGAGAACGGGTCACCTCTGTAATATGACGGTGTTTTCTTTTAGCTACACCGTTCTGTTGTGGTGTATCGACACGAGGTTTTTTCGTTATCAGCAAAAAAGGAGGCAAGACCACCCTACATAAACTCTCCTCCATTATCAGATCGAAGTATTTTGAGGGGACAACCAAATTGAGTACATACCATCCTATGAAAGGTTTTTAAAATGGAATGAACTTCATCTTTGGTTTTCATAAGATAAAGCCAAGTATATCGACTAAAGTCATCAATAAACACAACAAAGTAACAAAAACCAAGTAACGAAGTAATATATTCAGGACCCCACACATTAGAATGAACAAGCTGCAAAAGAGTTGTACTTTTATTAATACTAGTAGGATAAGAAACACGACATTGTTTGGCAAGAACGTATGTATCACAATTTAACTCAAAAGATTCAAGCGCATGCTTCAAAACAGGTAGAGGTAAATGACCTAGTTTATTATGCCATCACATTAACATATCTTTATTGACATTACTATTCCAAACACTAGATTGATTTGCAACATAATAAGAAGTTGGCCTCGCGTTCAGCAAATACAAGCCATTGTCCTCATGTCCACTTCCAATCGTCTTCCCGTGTCCAAGTCCTGAAACACATAGTGAGATGGAAAAAAGGTTACACTACAATTCAAGCCTTTTGTAATGTGACTAACAAAAAGGAGGTTATTGGTAAACTTTAGGACACGAAGAACAAAGTATAAGGTAAGAGTTAAAGAGACAGAAACAGTGCCCTTCCCCACAATGGAGGTGAGGGTACCATCAGCCACTCTAACCTTATCCTTACCAGAACATAAGCTGTACGAAGAAAAATCAGATGTCATACCAGTTATTTGATCAATGGCTCCTGAATCAATGATCCTAGGTCGCCCACCAGATAATGTGGAAACCTGATGTGCCGAATGAGAGGTACCTGTCTGAGTGAAGTTAGAGGTAGAAATGGAGGAATGTTGTGCTAGTAGATGTCGGAGAGCATCAAGTTCAGCCCTGGACAAAGGACTTGGTGGCCCTGAGGAGGCATGACCAGTAGAAGCAGTCTCACGCTCTATAGTATGTGCCGTAGATAACCCCCTAAATGTACTAGGGCTTGGCCTAGCCTTTGCATGAGTAGGGCTGGAGTAGGGCGACCGTGTAGATTCCAGCATGTTTCCCTAGTGTGGCGCATACGCCCACAGTGATCACACCTCAACTTGTTCTTGTCATCCTGCTTCCCTCCTTTTGGAGGATTGGGCTTGTTCCATTGTTGTGTGACAAGAGCAGACCTCTCAGATAATGGTACTTCTGGCTCAGGCTTAGTGTATATAGGTGCAAACATAGCCTTCGTTCTACTCTTCTCAGCCTGAATATACGAAAACACATCTCTAACAGAAGTGTACCCTGGCATGCTCATATCTCGAATGCAGACCGCCCAAGAACTCATAGATTCGATTCATTTCTACCATAGCATGAAATGCTTTAACATCAGTTGCACACACAGGTATGTAGTCTTGATAGTGATCTAAATCTTCCCATTTACCACGTAAAGTGTGGTAATATGTAGTAAGAGTTTGATCTTCCTACTTGAATCTTGAAATCTGTTGTTGGAGTTCATACAGTTTTGCAAAATTACCAACCGAGGAATACGTCTCTTCTACAATCGTCCATAGCTCTTTAGCTATTTTCACAAACAAAAACCCTTTGCTGATCTGTGGCTGCATTGACTGCAACAACCACGTCATAACTAGTGCATTATTTGCACTCCACTCTTTGAATTCAGGATCGCTCTTGAAGGGATATGTTACAGTCCCTTCGATATGGTCGATCATCCTACAACCAATGATAGGCATACGAGCAGACTGAGCCCACTTCATATAATTCGTCTCATCAACCTAACAGTCGTAATACAAAGGCCTGGATGGTGATCACTACTACCTCCCAATACTGGAGTCAGACTAGGAGAAGACCCAGCTTCTTTTTGAAGTCACCTCTAAGCCAGACATTTTATCAAACAGTTTCTGGGTATACAATCCTCAGAAACAAAAGCAACAATAAAATACATAGAGAACCACCTCTCTAACACACAAACTTCAACTAGAAAGATTACCGTCTTCTGAGATGCATAAAAAAGCGACCACACAGTCACCACACAAACCTTAGAAAGCAACAAAGTAGACCATACTAAAATTGCGAACAACGAAGAAAAAGCCGTTGTTGCAGAACCTCACGGACACGAAAAAAAATAAAAATAAAAATAAATAGGTCCAATTTTTTTTTTTGGATCCGTGGTACGTGTGGATGTGATTAACACTACTTCCTTGCAAACAAATCCCATCTTGGAATCTCTTCAAAACCCTTTACACCCACTAGGGTTTACACAAACTTGCCCTAGGGTTTCAACTACACACCTAGAGCTTCACAAACCACGCTCTAATACCATGTTGACTTTAAGATATAATCAAATCAAGAGTAAGTGATAAAGAAGAAAAAGAGAAGAAAGCGGATGAGAGAAAAAGAGAGAGAGATGGGGAAAGAAAGAAAGAATGAAATAATACTTTCATCCTTCCACCACATTCTATTTATGATAACAAGTTTCAGAAATTACACATAAGCCCCAACATTATATAAGTAATAACAAATAAGCCCCTGACAACACTCTTGTAGGCTGATGAGAAGGGCTGTGGATTTGGGGTTTGTTAGGGGTTTCAAGCTCGGCCCTGAATCGGTTCAGCAGATGGAGATTTCTCACCTTCTTTTTGCGGATGATACTATTGTTTTCTGTGAGGCAGAGGTGTCCCAGTTGCAGTATTTAAGATGTGTTTTGGTTTGTTTTCAGGCTGTCTCTGGTCTGAAAGTCAATGTGGGTAAAAGTGTGCTTGTCCCTGTGGGGGAGGTGCAGGATGTGGATTCTCTGGCTGCTGCTTTAGGCTGTGGGACGCGACGCTTCCCTATTTCTTATTTGGGTCTACCGCTGGGGCACTCGGCAAAGAGAGTGGGAAGTTGGGACCCGGTGATTGAGCGGGTCGAGAGAAGATTGGCTGGTTGGAAAAAGCAATATCTCTCCAAGGGTGGAAAAGTCACGTTAGTGAAGAGTGTTTTGTCAAGCCTTCCAACATACTTTCTCTCGCTTTTTAGGATTCTAGCCTCTGTTGTGGGAAGACTGGAGATGCTCCAACGGAATTTCCTTTGGGGGGGTCGTGGGGCTGAGTTTAAATATCATCTTGTCAAATGGGATCAGGTTTGCAAGCCTCTTCAGCTAGGTGGTCTCTGAATTAGAAGACTGGCCCCTTTTAATAGTGCTCTTCTAGGCAAGTGGCTTTGGAGGTTAGGCAGTGAAAGACATAGATTATGGAGAAAGGTCATTTCTTGTCGTTTTGGGGAGGGGAGAGGGGGGTGGTCAGCTAGGCCTGTTAGGGCTGCTTATGGTGTGGGGGTGTGGAGGTCCATTGGGAAGGGGTGGGATGAATTCTCCAAACACATTAGATTCAGAGTTCGGGATGGAAGATTTGTCAAGTTTTGGGAGGATTCCTGGTGTGAAGATAGGCCTTTGGCTCTGTTGTTTCCAAGATTGTTTAGGATTGTTGTTGACAAACATGCTATGGTTGCTGACTGCTATCGTCTTGATGGCAGGACGTTGTCTTGGGATGTGCAATTCAGGCGACCTTTTTAGGATTGGGAGTTGGATGATGTCACTGGCTTGTTGGCCCTTTTGTATAGACAGGAATTGGATGGCAGTGGTGTGGATTCCTTGTTTTGGGTGCCTTCTTCTAATGGGATGTTCGAGGTCCGGTCATTCTTTGTGCGCCTCTCTGGGTTTCATGGGTTGCCCTTCCCGTGGAAGACGGTGTGGCTCTCTAAGGCGCCCCTTAGGGTGGCCTTTTTTGTGTGGACTGCAGCTTGGAGTAAGATTTTGACTTTGGACAATTTACGGAAGAGAAGACATATCATTGTTAACTAGTGTTGTCTTTGCAAGTGTTTTGGGAAGTCCGTGGATCACCTTCTGTTGCATTGTCCTGTTGCTTATGAATGTTGGAGTCTTTTGCTTGGTTTGTTTGGCATCCATTGGGTCATGTCTCAGACTTCTCGAGGATTGCTAGATATCTGGAGGGGCTAATGGGTGGGGGCTCAGGCTAGAGACTTCTGGAGGGTGACCCCTCTATGCGTTTGGTGGAGTCTTTGGAAAGAGCGGAACAGAAGATCTTTTGATGGGAAGGAGTCCTCTATTGGAGAGCTGAAATATTTTATTATTTGTACCCTTTTTTGTTGGGGTTGGGGGAGGGATTATTCTTCTTTAGAGGACATTGTGGACTTTTTGGGTTCTTTGAGTTCATAGATTCTTTTTGTGTATTTCTCGGGACGCGTTCCCCTTTTGAACGCTTTCTAATACATTTTACTTATAAAAAAAAACACTATTGTACTTGCTTTCGAATCTAATTAATTTGTTCAACATGTTTGCCAAGCATGAAATCATGCAAAGTAACTATAGTGATGTGGGAGAATTCTCTTTAGTCTGGACAAGAAAACAGCTGCTATAATTCTATTGAGGTTCATTCTCAAGCTTATCAAGTAAATAAGGAGAAAATTCTAGGGATGAGGATCACAAGGAAGAAGTGTTAAGAAAACTTATAATCATGCTTATTGGAGGTTCCTAGATCATGTGATTCCAAGGAAAGATTTTAGAATATGGATGAGGAACTGTTTCAAGGGTTGTTCCCATCTGGTAACTTTGTTGCTTTGGCAGACAAGGATTCTGAGGAGCAGCTTAAGCTTTCCAGAGGGAGGAGGGAGTAGGCTGGTAGACTCTTTTATACTCATTCCCCACCCCCCCCCCCCCCCCCCCCTTATTCTGAGGAGCAGCTTAAGCTTTCCAGAGGGAGGAGGGAGTAGGCTGGTAGACTCTTTTATACTCATTCCCCCCCCCCCCCCCCCCCAAGGATTCTGAGGAGCAGCTTAAGCTTTCCAGAGGGAGGAGGGAGTAGGCTGGTAGACTCTTTTATACTCATTCCCCTCCCCTCCTCAAGGAATTGTTTGCACCCAAGATACTCATACCTTTTCACTTTGGTGGTTGATCTTAAAGCCGGATTGGTTGATTGATGGTTGCGTTGAATATAATGGATTGTCTTATAGTCAGTAGAGAACAGATTATTTTACCTTATCTTCATATATTGTTAATCTCTAGGCTATTTGATGTACTTTGGGAGACTCGTGGCTTAAATAGAACATGAACATGAAATCAATTGCAGGAATTACCATGGAAGTCCTAAATTGCATATTGTAACATATACCACTGGATGGCTTTATTGACTGGCCCATGTAAACCTTGTTCTTCCCTTGGAGGTTAATGGTGGGGCAGGGAAATTCTAGATTTAGGTTAATGGTGGGGCAGGGAAATTCTAGATCCTGTTGTAAATTTTACTTATATATATAAAAAAGGAATGCTAGATCTTGTTGTGAAATAGATTGGTGAAACATTAAGAGGAACAATCACTCTCATGCTATCATTGACCAATATTTCCCCTCATTACCCATTTTATATGCTTGTAAAGGTTGCTATAGGTCAGGAAATGGCAGAAAGATTCCTTGTGGTTGGTATGGACAATACCAGGCTTGATTGTTTAGTTGATTTTGAATTGCTATTAAACCAGCCATACTTTAATGTTGGGCAGCTAAGAAACAACATATGCATAAAGTGTGACGGAAATGCATATATTGAGATGGATGTGCAGAAATACTATATAGAATAGAATTAGAAATGACCAAATTCAGGAGATGGTTGGATTTGCACAAATTGGAGATAAAATGAGAGAAAAGTGACATAGTCCACATTGAGGGTAATACCCGGGAAGAGGAAGACCAAAGCTAAAGTGGGTAGAGTTAGTAAGGAAGGATATAATAGCTTGTGGGTTGACTGATGCTCTACCTTATTGCATTTATGTCAAATTATTAAGTGGATGAACACACTGGGGAAAAACTTCTGCTTGATTAATTTTATGCTTTGTATCTGTAAGTTTTATGTATCTTCCTCTTTTGTGCTTGGTGGTGGCTTGCATTTTATGCATATTTACTATGGGTAATTAATTGTTAAGTTGTTCTATTTTGAGCTGAGATGTTTCATGACTTGACTTATTCGAGACCAGGGGTGGATCACAAATAATATGGATTGCACCAAGTGGTGGAAGGGACCGCCCAGACCCCATCACGAAAGAATGGTATCCGGTGAGAGTTGACCTCATTTATTTTTGGGACAAAAGAAGAAAAAACTGCATCTATTAGCTGGATACTTGGGTATTATACAGTATTTTGCTGCCAAATTTCATCTTATATTTTAAGATAGGATTTGCCTTTGGATGTTTCTTGTTAAAATAATTGTCTTTTGTTGTGATATATGTTATATTTTTTTTTTTCTGACATTTACATGTAAACTTAAGAACTTGCATGTAAGTTCTTTATGGGCTTCCACAAAACATCATGACTGCTTTATGGGATTTATGATATTTAGGTATAAATTGTCTCTGAAATTTTGAATCAAGGACTCGATTACAACACAACTTAGTTTTGTCCCAATATTTGGGGTCAGTGAAAAAGTGGTTGCACCAGCCTGACATCAAACCATGTTATACACTTATTACTGAAGTATTGCACACCATGTTACATGGACACTTTACAAACACAGGGTAACATCATTGTTGAAATATCTGTATTATTATTAATTTTATTTTTATTAGCTGTTTTCAGCCTTTTATTAGGTGTTTTATGTAAGATCCCCATAATCATTGGATCACGTAGATTTTGGCCCTTTTTTTGTACCCTATTCTTGTATATAAATATAGTAGCTCTTGGCTCTCGGTTTGAGTAAGCCAAACCCAAGACTTTTTTTTTATCATAATGATTGTGAATTGTGTGCGTGACACACTTGTTGGAGTTGAACAAATCTCGAACAGATGTGTTTGATGTTGGAAAGGAAGAGGTATACATTTTATATTGATCCGGCACAAAAGAGACTAAGCTTCGCTTAACAGTGTTGAGCCGAGTCCGAGCTTTGAACACAAACCAAATCTGAACCTTCCTTTGACTTTTCTTGCTTGTGTTAAAGTACTATTTGTTCCCCCTTCTTTTAAGTTTTTGGTTCCATGTAGACCCTTATTGAATTATCATAAGCACCTAAGGAATCCTCAATAAACTCCCATTTTTAGTTTTCATATTTGGGGATAGTACACTAGTACCTGTGTCCATCTAATATACTAGGTCCTGTCTCTCAGCAGTTAACTGGGATAGTGATTGGATGTACTCCGTATCAAGCATTGTAGAGAATATGACAGTTGTTTGATGAAGATATTTGTTGATTAGTTCATAGAATTGTCAGAGATAAGTCATTCATTGAAGGCATAGTTGTTAAAGCCCTGAGGAGCATTAAAGCTTCAATCTTCTGAGGCCTAGGTGCAAGGCAAGTTGCGGACCTATGTAAGGCACAAGTTGTATAGAACATGCAAAATGGTAGCACTTAAGACAATTCAAAATGGTCTTTTAGAACATGCAAAATGGTCCTGTGGAACATGCAAATAAAATCAAGATTCACAAACCACAACAGGAAAATGACATAATTCATTAAAAAATAGCACTTGAGATACCCTGTATAATTAATGCCTTCAAAACTAAATGAGTATGGCATATTTGAGAAGCACATCAGTAGTGTTAATTGGCAATACTTAGTGCTGTGCTTTTACACGGTTGATTCTATTTAACAGGATTTATGGCTGTTAGTTTTATGCCTATGCATGGATAAAGAGATGGTTTCTTTCTGGAAGAGTGTTGAGAAAACACAATAAGTGAATTATTTCAACTGAGTAATGTGTACAAGCAATAAGAAACACACTGTTTTGGGGGTGTAATGTGTATACTTTTGCTAATTGTGCTCTGTTGTCTTCTATTTATGGGTGAAAGAATACAAACATGTGACAAATAAGAAAAATATATTGATGGAGGATTCCTAAAATCACTCTTACGAATCAATCCTATCTATATTCTATCAACGGCCTAAATCACTCGTATAATAATGTTCTCCAACAATTAAGTTATGAAATTAATGATTCTACCTTATTACCAATAATGGCTGTAGCATTTGGCAGTTCTTTATTTCCATTAATCACTCTTAGTGATAGAGTTTTTTATATTAGCCTGTGGCTTCATTAGCCAAAACTATTTGTGTTACTTTTAGGACTTGCTATTTATTCACTCAGTTCATTTCCTACTGTTTTTATGCAATTGTGTTTGTTTTATACTGATATAAGAGGTTCAGGCACCCTTTGATGCTTCTTCAGTGGACAATATGAGAAGGCTTGCAGAACATTCTGGCGTTCCTGGTCACATTTATCCTTTGGCAATATTGTGCTATGATATTATGCCCCCTCCACCACAGGTATGTTCTCATGTTTGATATGTGATTCCCTTATGACTCCAATACTCTTTACTTGCAGCTAAACATTTTTTTCCAGGTTGAAAAAGAAATTGGGGAGAAAAGAGTGATCTCTTTTCATGGAGCTGGACTGTCAGTGGCACCTGAAATCAATTTCCTTGAAATTACTGCTGCTTGTGGGGACCCTGAAGAGGTTAGTTTATATAATAATATACTGGTCATCCACCCATCTGTAGGTCAAATATATTTTCTACTTGAACTTTATGTGAGGGCCATTGCTTGGTTCAATCGTAAAGCATCTGTGCTACTGGTGCAAGTTCGATTCCCAAAGCAGCCTCTTGTATGTGAAATACCAAAGTTTAGATTGTGTTCTTCCTCCCCATGATCCTGCTGTGGCAGGACCATAGCAGGGCAATGCTCTTAGCTTTAGCATTTAGTTCCGGTGAGGCCCGTGTCGTCATCCTACCACCAAGTTTGGAGAGTGTGAATTTAAGGCGAGGGCCAAGAGTTTTGCATTTATAAAAGCCACTACTACCTTTCACTATAAATATAGCTAGGGCGAGTAGGGATCGTCCCAAGGGATTGTGAGGGTCGAACAAGGTTGTGGAATCGCTATTAGGGTTAGTAGGTCGAGTGATCAAACAAATGGTTGGTTGGTTGGTTAAACTAGAGAGCAAATTAAACTAAATAATTGATTGCAATAAAGAGTAAGTAAGAGAGAGAGAGATCTTGGGGTTTAGAGGTCACCACCAAGCAATGCATTTCTATACCATTGACAAGTGACTAATGAGGGCAAATGGTGTGTTGCAGTATTGGTGTGTGTGTGTGTGTTTGGTTGATTCAACAAGTAAGGATGACTAGTTAAGCATGTATTGTCTAAACATCAGATGAAAGGCACAATATATCTAAGTAATGAAGCATATATTGTCTAAACAACATGTGAAAGGCACAATAGATCAAAACAAGTCATTAATCATTTCATTAAGCTCACAATCCAAATATAACACAAGGTTAGAGACATATGCTACTTGCATTCAAAAGCTTGGATCATCAAACAATAAGCATGGATTGTCCTCCCATTTAACACTACACTACAACTACACTACATCTACACTACTAGGATGAAAATAAACTAAGGGAGAGGCACAATCCATCAAGGAATAAGTATGAACCATCAAGAAAATCACAAGAGCATTTCATTAAGCACTATGTTTTGACAATCTCTAAATCTATAGTATCAATATACATAGACATGCATCAATAACACAAAATCTAGAGACAAGCACATGAACATCTATTCTAACATACATAGACATATGGATAGAATGAAATGATCAATTGAAAGCATTTAACCACATAAATCATTGAACAATCAAGATCTATATATATCAAAGTGCCAAAACATTAATTACAACACTAATCCTTCAATAATACACAAGATTAAGATATAGAAAGCATGCTTGGGGCTAACTCTAGCCCCAAGAGGATGTCTAGCCACTCATGGTGATATTGCTCCAACCCTCAAGGGCTAACTCCATGGAAGAAATCTATTCCTTGTTGATGAAGAACTCCAATGGTGTTTCTAGCCTCCGCCTCTTTTCTTCTACACTAAGAATAGCCTCTCAAGTTGTATCTACCAAATGCTAAGTCTCTTGTATATTGTATCCCCTTCAAAAAGTGCATCATATTCCTTTTATAGGTAGGTCAAGTGACACACCAAATGAGCTAGGGTCGTGCAAAGAATATTCTCTAATGATTAGATAGAGGACGGATTGAATAAGCTGGCTTTTTAACTTTTTCGCACTGGAGGAAGTTCAATCAATCGAACCTTGGACTTGGATCGATCGAACTGGCTGAGATCCATCGAACTTAGGCTGGATCGATCTAACTGGTTGAGCTTTTTGGGAAAAGACAAATCCGAGATATTTTGGGAGATATTTTTGGGAAAAGGACAAAAGTGGTTAGTGGGTGGTACAGCTGTGGATAAGATCAATCATTTGAATAAGGACAAAAGTGTTCGATCGATCGAAGGATGGTGTTGGATCGATCGAACTTTGGACTTTTTGCTTTGGGTCAAGGCTTGGATCTATCTTGAAGTGCTGAGATCGATCAGTGTTCGATCGATCGAACCTTGAAGTTGGATCGATCAAACTTTGCTGCTTCCCACCTTTGGCTTCATTTGCTTCCTTCTTTCTCCACTTTGCTCCTTTCTTTGTTTAATCCCAGAATTGCTTCAATTAAGCTCTTATTTGGCTGAATTAGCTTATTTTCGGGATAAGTGCCTGAAAATGGAAATAATACGAAATCAATCTAAAACAGTAAAGTAAGATAGATAAAGGTACTAGAATGCCTAAGCGTAAGGGGTTTAAATACGCACTTTTCAGCGCTCATCAAGTTCAACTCTATGTATTATTTTGGAGATAAAGTAACACAGCTTTGGCAGTAAAAATTACAAGTTTCATCTGAGTAATTATGAAAGAGGAACTGGTACCAGTTTTGGCATCACAGTTCCAGTTTTACATTGATCGTATCCTTTTGTTTAGCTTTATGGGGATGGCAGGGGCTTGGGTTTGTCCTTGTTCCCAGAATTTTTTTTTTCAATTTTTTTTTTTTAATTCCCTCTGAACATCGAAACATAATTTCCTACATATATATTTGATGAAACCTGTTATAGCTTTCAGTTTCACTGATCAAATTATGAATTTTTTCATCTCTTAGTCACTCTCACAAAAATAGTACAGGTAGCCTTCCTTTCAATTGTTCCTCATCACTATTCCAAAGTTTTTGATCTAGATCAAATGGCCAGCATAGCTAGTGAGAATGTTAATGTTAATCTGTAGGAAGACTAGCATATTAGTATGAAAATGAGTTTATTGGAGACCTAGAGCATTTACTATGGGTGTTAAAATAAGTGAGCACAGTGGAGGTGAATTTGACGTATTTACTTAAAATATTTAGGTAGTGTTGCATTTACTTGATTTCCAGGGTACAATTTTTGTTTTTAGTTCTGATTCTTTTTACAACTTTGTTCTTGTGGTTCCCAGTGGAAGGCATGACAACCCCCATCCTCCTCTTTCCTTGTTATTGTACCAGCTAAAATTCTCCTACTGTTGCAACTACAATGTTTTATCATCAAAAGTACTTAGTAGCAGTACTCTTTTGCACCGCTATTTTCCTGTTATTAAAAGTACCTAGTAGCAGTACATTTTTCTTTCTTTCTTTCTTTCTTTTTTTTCCTTTTTTGGGACAACGGAGGATGTCCCCTCCCTTTGGAGGCGGGGGACTAATCCATTCGGATATCCACAATCAACCCCAAACCAGTAGTATCCAGTAAGCCTAGGGAGGAGGTTTTAGGCCCCTAGGAACTCAACACAAGACCTCTAGGTCATATGCCCAGAAGCGTTATGCCAACTCTGCCATACCGTAGGGGTATCAGTAGTGTTCTTGATTGTAACACTGACATGTAACTAACTTTTGTGGTATGTTTTGTGCCCGAGCTAGTACATTAAAAATATGTATGCATAATTTGTTTCATTCTGATAAGAACATCTGAGCTGGGTTTGAATTTTATGATGTGGCGAAATAGTGATGAAATTGGCTATATAAAAAAATATTATGCAAATTTTTGGCTGCAAAGTTACTGGCAATATCTGGTGAATTGCCAAACACCAAAATGTAGCTGATGATCCCTTTTTCTTGTAGAATTTGCTGTCAAATTTTAAGAAAGGAACAGGAAAAGGAGGATTTATCTTTTCATGGAAGAGGTTTTCTGGGTCTATAAGCCAAAATTTGGGATTCTAATGTCATATAGTTGTCTGAGGTAATTCAAAAAAAGGGTAAATAAACAGTGGTTGTGTTATTGTCACTTCTAAAATGCTTAAAAGTGAGAGAATTCTGAACTTAATGATTTTGATGTATGGACAATAGAGAAGATTTTGTGTTGCCAGCTCCAAATAGGATGGATAAACAAAATTGACATACCGAATAGGCCGCATAGGAGTCCCTACTTGTGTTTGTGGGTGAACGTTTAAATCACAGGCGTTGTAGATTTCTTAACAGGCCTGGTTATTTGAAATCCATGTACTCCATAGTTTCCCTTTGTCCTTTAATTTTCTCTTTCCTAGTTCTTTAACTTTTTCCTTTTCCAGGGAGGGGGTTAAATAATTTTCTAAGGTATTATAGATCTATCTTTATATTTTTCTTTTCTGATCCGAATTCATCTTTTTAATCCCTTTCGAAATGATGTAAATGGAGGAAGAGCTCAAATCCAAATCCGACCAAATCTTTGAAGCCAAAGGCTACTTTCAGTCTTTACTATTATTTAATGCTAATAGGAATTTCACTTCTTTGCGAAGTCACTTTGTTCTTGTTTTGGAGAATTTACCTTGTTGAAAATATGGATGAAAATTCTTTGTAGTCGTATCAATTTCCTAAATTACACTTATCATTAGCAAATTAACTCTGAAACAACTTGATTCCATGCACGTGTACAAGTTATACTTCTAACTTGTTCAAAACAATCTGTACGTTACCTGCTGCAGGCTAAGGTGGCATATACAAAAGCGCTATATGATTCTGTGAAGGAGCAATACGGTGTGCTCAATTCTGCTATACATGGCAAACAAGGTCTAGAGGCATCAATTCCAACTGTATCGTTGTCACAGCCATGGAACTAACCAACTGCTTGTACCTTTTCTATACGATAATCAGGTACACTTTTTTCCTTTACATATCTTGGTACTTTAAAAATTATAGTTAATAATATGACACTTCCGGTGCTGTTGAAACTACAGATCCGTTTTGCCTTGGTTTGGCTTGCTTTATTGTCATACTCGTATTCACTAAGTTGAGATTTGGTAGAAAATCATCGAGCTAGAAGAATTTACATCCTTAAATTGCATTTTTTTGTGTGGTTAGTCTATGAAAACGGCTTTAATTATTCTTCTTTTGATTCTGTTTTTCTAAAAACATAAATGCATCTCAATAGAAATTACGATAAGGGAGTGATGAAGAACTGAAATTTGGCATGATATTTTGCAGGCTAAGATGATTCATTCTACATAACATTGTGTACTTGGTCGCTATTCAATCGTATAATGCACTTCAGAGAAAGAATCACTGCTCATTGCTCATTACTCATTACTCATTACAACTCCCTGTGAAGCATGCCTTCTTTCATCTGTTCGTTTTGAGATGCTCACAATTTTGTGGAGATAAAATCAACCGCGACCGGATTTATCTGAGGCACTCGCTGTACAGTAGTCTTTAGTCCTTCAAGACTCATAAAAAAAAAAATAGTAGTCTTAGTCCCTTCAAGGAATTGGGACAGTCATTAGCAACTTACTTGTATATCATGTATCAGATTTTCTTTTATTCTCATAGCTCCGTTATAGTCCGTTTTTCTTCTGATAAGGATCACAATACTCAACCACAGAAGTTCACTCGTGAATATACTAGAAAGGGTAAATTTCCGGTTCTAGGGTAGTGTAAGTAAATAGTTCTGAAATGCCCAATAAAAAGTCCATTTGGGTGTTCAATGGCATTTTCTTGCTGATAATAACACAGCGATTGTCAAACATTTTGTTGTTGTTGTTGCTGTTATTTCTTTAACAGAGCGTTCTTCCGATATTAGAATGCTAGTGAAAGTGATGAATGTGGCTTTATTTATTTCTTTTGGTTCGGTAAATGCCTCAGACATCTACAAATGGCAAATGCCCACGGTGTGGCTCAAACCTAACTTGCACTTTGGAGAAGAGAGGTTATACTATGTCGGCCAATGTGGTAGCCAGATATATGAAGTTTCTATTGCTATTATGTATATATGCATATATATATATATATATATATATATATATATATTGGAAGAGAGGGTGGTGAACCGGTGGCTTCTTAATTTTTTTCTCTGGGACTTGAATGGCATGGTCCACCCAATGACACCCTCTGTTTGCAATGTCCTTTGAGTAACCAATTTATAACCAAGTTCTGCTAGCTGATACTTTTTGATATATATTTGTTCAATGTGTGAGATGGTCAATTGTTGAAGAACTTGAAAGCACCTTATGCAAGATTCAGACTCTTCAAGTAGAAATGGTATTATCCAACTAGATGTTACAAGATGCCTTTGCAATATTGCTGATATTGAAACATTGTAACGATTTCATACAAATGTCATTTACATGCAAGCGAATGTAACATTGTCAATGAGTGAGGCCTATATGGCAAAACCTATTGGTTGTGGGTTGTATTTCAAACTTTGTTTTGGTTGTGCTTCCATTTATACATGACAAGGAACCATGATTAGGCAGGTTATCATTTCAGACCTCTGTTTCATATATTTGGTTAAATTTGTATAAAACAATGGAAAATGTTAAATATATCTCGTGTTTAATGCCTTATAAAAGACCTAAATTGTTTTTTTTTTTTGCAGGTGGCTTGAATTAGAGAGTTATGAATATACACCAAAATCAATCTACTCGAGCTTGGGTGGAGATTGGTTTTTGAGTGAATTTATTCAAAGTGTTTTAACACTATATATATATATATATATATATATATATATATATATATTGTCTTTGGTTAGATTTAGGTATACTTTCATGTGGAGAGTTTTCGGTTTTAAACCCGTGACCTTCATGTCACAATTTAAGTTGAACATAGCGGAATGTTCATGTCACAATTTATTGCGTAGAGTCGGAGTGAGAGCGATAGCATGAAAGTGACAAAATTTAAGTTGAACATAGCGGAATGTTCATGTCACAATTTATTGCACAGAGTCGGAGTGAGAGCGATAGCACGAAAGTGACAAAATCTAAGTCACACACAGTGGGAACGAGAGCGGTAGTGCACTCAGATTGTGAGAGCAGCACCCATGAAGAAGGATTGTGTGACTTACGTTACAATGGAGCAACTTTATTGTTAAAACTTGGAGAGTAAAAACATACTTAAATGGCTTAGCTTAAATTCCATCTTGAAGCTTATGTAATGTTTGACAATATTGAATCGGCGCTTTGAATTTGGAATTAGAAAAAATTTAGTACAAATTTTAAACTAAATTTCTTCCGATCTCAAATCTAAGGCACCGATTACGTACTCCCAAACATAACATTACTGGATTTTCAATCCGATTTGAAGCAACCAACTACTCAGATTCACTCGCTCATTCACAACCCTCCACCAAATAAGCTTCATTTCAAACCAACTCAGATTACGTTGATTATTCAATTTGACATACTAATCCTCCATTAAAATTACAGAATAAATGGGGGTGCGCCTCACGTGACATTTGGACAGACAAGAAACTGTTCCTTGAACCTAACCTCCCCACTTTTACCTCCAAACAAGGTTATGTTCAATCAATAATATTGTTCTGTAACTTAATTTCCTCTTTTCCCTACTTTTTGGTGCTTGTTTCTTAATACAAAGGGAAGATCACATGCACTTTCCCCACTGCACCTTTCACATTGTTTAATGAACCAAAAGCAATAGAAAACACACAAACATTGTTTGTTTTTTAAAATACATAAAATTAATAAATTAATTAAAATAATTGTTTTTGTGTGTTTGTTTGTTTGTTTTGTGGGTTACAAGAAGAGATTACGAAAAACTATGACAATCTTAATACTATAATATCAAAACATAGAATTTCATCTCTGCTCCCCATGCAAGGCTGATTAGGCTCCTTGTCAAGGCATTGCTTATTTTACACACACACACACACACACATATATATATTGTTTGATTAATTAATGTTGCATGCACGAGGTTATCGAATCATCTCACATCTAATACAATCCAAAAATAATAATATTTTGATACAACCTGGACACTAGATAATAGTATATGTTACATTAATCGCATTATAACACTATAGTAAAGGTGTGCCGTGGGCGTTGTAACACTGTTCTTAAAGCTTTGCAGCGATAGAGAAAAATATAATAATAACAACTATATTGGTAAATAATTGAATCCATAGAAATTTACTAAAGGTACCTTATAGTGATACTTTCTTACTTTTCAATTTTGAAATGAAAGGTTGATAATTTAAATTGTTACGTTCATGTGAGCATGTGAGCGTGTATTGTTTGTGAAAATGAAAATAATAATAATAATAATAATAAATAAATAAATAAAACAAACATAGAGATAGTAATTATGCTCATAGTTACTCATAGCATTTTTTTTTTTTTGGTATTCCACCATGTGATAATGTGTAACAAATAAAATTTTCCTTATCCAATATTACTAACACATCCAGATGGAAGAGGTAATAATTATTTAATTAAGGACTATTATCCAATGGTATTTATAATATGTGTATTTATTAGAGTGATGATATCAAGAGCTTTCGTGTGATAAGAGTTATGAGCTCTAATTGGAAGAGTAATGCTGTTACTAGAGTAGAGGATTAATATAGTTTTTGAAATTTATGAAAAGTCAAATGAGTCTTTTAATGAGTAGTAATGCAATGATGTACTGCGGACTCAGTGGGAGCATCCGCCCCCACTAAAATTATGAAAAAATACTCTATATAAATTTGTCCCTTTCATGAATTTCTCATGAATTTCTAGATTCATCTTTATGAGTAGTGGCCAATTAAATGAGAGAATATGACGCTCTTGTCACAAGATCTTTGATAGAAATGCTTTATTTATTTATTTATTATATATATCTAAATATATACACACACACATTTAATGTTAAAACAAGCACATACACCCTTTTTGCCCACGCCCAGGCTCAAACCCTTCCCCTGATTATACCACTAAATTAAAGGCCCTTTGATTATATTGCTAGGATTAAAGTATTTATTACACCAACACTAGTAATTACAACACATATACTGTATTCATGATGCTGTCACGAGATTTTTGATAGGATATTTATATATATTTTTTCTTTGAATTATAAAATAAACACATATTCTTTTCGCTCGTGCCTGAACCCCTTCCCTCCCCATTTGAGGAGGGGGAGCCGCGAAAGACCAATTGAATAATTGATTATATTACTAAGATCAACCTATTTATTACACCAACACTAGTAATTATCCTTTATTAATCTCTCTCCCAACAGAAAGTTATAAATCAAATAAATGCATGGAAGCAAGCATATTTAATGGTAAGATATTTAAGCATAACAAATAATGGAGGTTTGTTTTAATGAAAAATCAAGAATTAATGAAGAAGCCTCCTTAAATTTGTTTGATTTAGAATTAAATGCGAAGGAGTGGAGAGAAAACTGCTTCTTGAAACTGTTGTACTGCAACAAGGACAGTCCTCCATATTTACTTCAAATCCACCATAGACCAATTAATTGCTTTTAGTTTTAACCACTTTAAAATAATAAATGCATAGTCGCTTGTGGTGAGACATTTAGTTATGTAGGTTTGTTTCAATGAAAATCAAGAATGAAGGAGAAGCCTCCACTCTACCATCCTAGATTTCTTTGATTTGGAAATAATAAATGTAAGACAAGGACACTCTCCATTTACTTCAAATCCTCCTAATTGACCACATAATTTCAAGTGATTTTACTCTCCATTCACTCTTCTAACTAAACAAAAATTATCGGCGTGTTCGGTACTACTTCTTTACCTTCTAAAATATAAAATCGGGTTTAAATCTTCTGTCTACAAGGACACATGTGTTAAGTGTTTTATTTTTGTTTTTTTTTAAAAGAAAACATAATCATACTGAGATGGTTTGCAAGCACGGATGTACTGTTGGCTTAGTGGAATACTAAATTTTTTATTATTGCATTTTACACCTCTAAATTTATATTTTTTTTTGTATTTATACCTATAAAATTTTGAAGTTGCCTCCACTGAAAAAAAAAAAAAAAAAAAACCCTTCTATATAAATTCCCTCCCCCATATGAATTTCTAGATCCATCTCTGCTGATTTGCGAAGAAAATTCTCCTTTTCAAAACTGTCATGTCACAAGTTTGATTAGTACACTATATAAAAAAATTAAAAAAATTATATTCAGTTTCAAGATTTTTTTTACTTTTTTATTTTTTTGTTTCTTAGAAAACATAATAAAAATTTATATATTTAACATGGATATGCCAAAAATTCCTAACTTATATTAAGATATTTAAAAAATCATGAAAAAAGAATGAAAATGACAAATCTAAATTTAAAATATTTTAATAATATATATTTTTAACAAATTCCCCATTTATATGGAATAAATGCAAGGATTAAGGTGATTATGATATTTTTTTTTAACTAGTTAAAATTGAAAAGTTTTTTTACAAAAAAAAAAAAAGAAAGAAAAGGAAAAGGAGATAAACTTACACTAATAAAAAATGTTCAATAAAAACTCTTGTCATCATTAAATAAGAATAAAAGAATTAGTGTTCCTAAGTTCAAAACTAAACTATTTTTTTTCTAGAAAATGAATAATGTCATGACAAATACTAATGACATTATGATAAAACCATCCTCATTTATATAAATCAATCAAACTTACTCGGCCTTGGAACTTCAAATTACTCCATTGTCCTTCATTTTCTGGAGTAGTGATTACTACGAATATAATCCTTTTTTGTGTGGGCAAAATTGTCATTTGATTTTAGATTAAACTGAAAATAATTCCAATGGGTACACGTCACTGCTGCTAGAAAAAGA